TGGAATGACAATTTGAGCGTATGTTACAAGATGCGATGTGGACATGTGCTGCAAATTCCGTGATGATAGTTATGTGTATTGATGTACAAAGCCACGCCCCTATGAAGTTCATTGGTCTATATCTTCTAAGCGCAGATACCAACAAGCGTTTGATAACTTTTGATGACATTGATCCAATAATGATACACATTATTTGCAAAAATGTGTTTTTCACAAAATTCTAAATGGCGGAACATCTTGGGAGGCGGAGTTTAGGAGTCTAATTGAGATTTTTGTAGAGCAGATAGAACTGTGTTGAATTTCAAGTCAATTGGACATAGGGGGTGAGGGGCGTGGCATTGCATTAAAATTAACTAGGGTTAGGGTGGGCGCTACAGAGCCATTTTTTCATACCCAAATGCGAGACCCCTAAAATATCAAATTGTTCACCGGTCCTGATATGCATGCCAAAATTGGTGAGTTTTTGAACATGATGAAGCCTACAAAAAGCCAAGTAAAACAGTTTCAATAGGGCCTTCGCTGGCCCGACGTTGTTGGTGCTCAGGCCCTAACAAGGCATTCAAATACTGATTTGGACGTCAATTACCACAGCGATGGTCGAAGCTTGAAAGCATTCCGGTCACACCATATCTGTCCGATCAATATGAACCTGCAGACAGCTAGCTTAGCATAAAGAAAGAAAAACCTCTTGTCGTCACTATGAGGTTGCCAACCTCAACCTCGAAGCCTCCAAGAAGTCAGTCTGCCTGGCCAAGAAATAGTCCTGCACATATATCCTCGTAAAACAAGATATAATGAGTTAATTATTGTTAATTACAGGTGCTGGTAGGTGGATTTTGTTACTCTTAGATAAACGCAGGTAAGCTGTTTCTCGTTGTTTCCAGTCTTTATGCTAAGCTTGGTTAACTGGCTGCTGATTTCTTATTGAACAGACATAGTATATGAGATTTGTATTGATCTTTTCATCTAACTCTGCAAGAAACAAATTTTCCCAAAATGTCAGACCATGGCTTTAACGGCAGGATTATTTAGAAAGATTGTCCACTGTTTGGGTCATGCTCTGTGCAGATACAAATAGAAGAATGCTTGTTGTAAAAAAATATGTACTGATATTGCAGCTGGAATAGCCACATAAAAGCGTCACATGCAACTGTTCATCACATTAAATTTGAAAGGACATGTGCGGCACTGTTGTTATATAATGGAGAGAAACATTATCGAATGCTGGTATAGCCCACTTTCACCTGTTCAGTCCACTCGCTCATTCTATCTCCACATATCTGAGCCTCGTTGTCTCCTTCCTCACTCACCACCCATTTCCTCTCTCTTCTCCTATCTCTGTTGCACCCTCACCCTCACCACCTACACACACGCACACACACACGGCAGAGGGAAGAGGACTCTGATAAGCAGTCTATTGATTGGAGGTAAAGCAGAGTGTGTTGGTATGAGTGACAGAGAAGGCACAGCTTTATCAAGGCTACTTGTCTGTAGAATTGTGAGTGGGGAGGACAGCGAATATACTAAGCCCCACACACACACACACACACACACACTGCTACACTTGAACTCAAATTAGTCATGTCTTTCTTTTGATAATTAGAAGTAGGCCCACGTTGGATCTCTACTCCCTCGGTCCCTCATCTGCGCCTAAAAAGGGGTCAAGTCCTCTTTGTCTCTACTTCTAGTGCTGGTTAGCTTCAGTGCCAAAACTACACTAAACTGTGCACTATGGTCTGTGTTCTGGCTTCTGCCACCAAAAACCAACTAGCAAAAGCATGTTTTTTCAAAGTTCTAAGTAAATAACCAATTCAGGAGCATGAGAATAGCGACAAATCTAGAGTTACTTAAATCCAATCCCTAACCTTGCAACACAACAAATTCATCAGAATGTTTTCCTGAAAAGAACCTCAGAAGGAGAGAATAAAAAGCTAAAAAGTGAGTAGGAAGACACTTTTTCAAAGAGTAAGTAGCATCAATAAAACTAACTTTTCACACAAGCACCACATTCCTCTTCCACACATACCTGTAAAAAGTCTCCAAAAGTCTTACTTAGTAAAAGTGTAATCCAAAACTACATAAAAGAAGAGTACAACAATTAAATAACCCATATATATATATATAAAATCCGTTCCAACACTCTGAACTGAAAAGAATCGAGTGATTCCAAGTAAGCTTGCCAGTGGCACTCTGCAAACCTGAGCTCGTCTAAAATACTACCCAATGCCAAGCAAAACTAATTAAATGTTGTTTATTGTTGCTGCCAGCAAGCCCAAAGAGAAACACATTAAGGTGAACAACACATCACATGGGAAGGTCTTTATTTGCACACCTAAAATCCAAACTAGTTGAAGAGCATTGTGCTTCTTTCCTCATTTTGCAAAAAAAAAAAATCCTCAAAAGATACTTTCAATTTTCATATTCACATAACCTCATGATTATAAAACAGCTAGTCGACCGTATATGTGGGTCAGAAAAGAGCAACATTTCAATAGCATTTCCAAAAAATTCTTTTTGTCTAAGTACCTAAATGCTTTCAACATATAAAGCCCTTTTAACACGTTACAGTACTTTAACACCATACGGTCGAGTACATTGAAACTAGCCAGAGTGCTTCAGCATAAAGCACTACCTCTTGCATCCTCTCACTACTTCTGAACATTAACAAGTTGATGGCCTCTCTGGCAGCTCTCTGTTCTAGTCTCTTTTTAAAACCTCCCTTCTTTGCCTCCTCATACTTGTTTGCTTGCACTTTCTTTCAGTCCTCTTTGCTCTCGCTCTCTTCATTCAGCCTCCCTTTTTCTTTCCAAGGCTGGCCTATCCTCCCCTCACTCTCCCCGTTTCATCTCTCCTCTCTCTGACCCCCTCTGTCTTATCCTTATCTTGTCCCTTTCCGTCATTAAGAGTCTCCTTTGCAGGAGTGTGAGCTCTGCCAAGGTAAGGCAATTAAAGTGACAACAGATTGAAACAGACTGGAACAACAACAGAATAAATTGAGGGAGGGCTTGTAGCAGAGCTGGGCGTGACTGGGAGCAGAACGTACTAATCGTAAGCAAGCACTGTGTGACTGATGTATTGTCTCTTTGTTTTGCTATGAAACAACTATGAGACTGACTTGACTGAGACCTGTGCAAAATGCACAAATAAGTGCTCTAGCATCCACGGCACATTACACATAAATCCAATGTAAGAGATTGAGAGTAGTGAGAAGAACAATGTAAATCAGCTCACTCTTCCAATGGTATACCAAAGGTTACATAGCCATACATCCATCCATTCATCCATTATCTGTAACCGCTTATTCTATTCAGGGTCGCGGGGGGCTGGAGTCAATCCCAGGTGACATTGGGCTAAGGCAGGGTACACCATGGACAGGTCGCCAGGCTATCACAGGGCTGACACATAGAGGCAGACAACCGTTCACGCTTACGCTCACATCTACAGGGAATTTAGAGTCATCGATTAAGCTAAGCCGCATGTTTGTGGACTCTTGGAAAAATGGAGAACCTGGAGAAAAGGACTTAGGGAGAACATGCAAACTCAGCACTTGCAACAGTGAGGGGCGCCACTAACGTAGTGGTTTGTACCACCATACATAGTATGCCACACAGCAGAGCCATACATTCAACACAATCATTTGAAAAGTAATAGGTAAGCAAAAGTTTCAGTAGAAATGTTCTTATATTTGAAGCAGCAATATCTGCTTTTTTAACACTAGGGGGATAAGCACTCACAATATTCACATCAAACTTGCACCAGTATAGTATTGGGTCATCAAGTGCTGATTGCTAGCATGTTAGCAAACCACTGCCCACATTCAATGGGAAAACAATAGGAGTATCCCGTTAGAGACATGTTCCTGGCTTTCTGATGTCACTATCAGAATCCCCAAGCAGCTCAAACCTGAAGCAGCACCCCAGGCTCTGCATAGAGCATTAGAACAGCTTTGATGTTAAAGCCCCCCATTCAACAGTAAAAATCAGTTGGTAGAATGCATCATCTCGGGACCTATAATATCTGTATATATCATGGCAATCCATCTAATAGTTGTCCAGATATTTTAATCTGAACAACAAAAGCTAACATCATTAAGGTGCTAGAGGAAAAGTCAGGTGATGAAAGACATCCAATCCATCGGATTGTTGTCGAGATAATACTGGTGGACCGACCAACAAAACGTCATTGCCAACCATAGAGCCATACCGCCAGCATGGCTAAAAATATTGTTAACTTGAAGCGAATAAGTGAGCTTCTCTCAAAACCTCCAACACATCTTACGACTTTTCTCTCATTCCCACAGACAAGCATTGTGCCCTTCTATATACTATAACGTCCTTCGGAGATGGGGCAGGTCAGAATTTAACAAATGTTACAGTGAAGCCTGCATAGTTGGGCTTTGGACATATAAATCAACATTGTGTATTTGTGTGTGTGGAAAAAAATGTGTGTGCGCCTTCATGTATTTGTAACTTTTACTATGTTTTTTGTGGGAATCCAGGCATGTGTATACAGTATGCGTGTGTGTGTGTGTGTGTGGGTGTGTGTGTGTTAAAGTTTGTGTGCAGGTGTGTTGCCTACAAGGTGTATGCATTCTAGTTGTGTGACAGAGCATATTATGATGAACAGCTCCCCAAAATGACTGATTGTGTCATGCCACTGCCATAAATCACACACCCACTGCCCCCTTCAGCCACACACTAAGGCACAAGCAGAAACATACAAACAGAACTTTGATAACACCCCACCTTCTCTCTCTCTCTCTCTTACACACACACACACCTACGATGTCGTGTCTGACAAGCTCTACAAGCGAGGGTCAAACACAGAGTTCAGCTTTAGACAGAAGCCCAGCAATATGAGAATCCCGACAGTATTGAGTGCGAGCATGCTCCCGACTGTACATCCATGTATGTCATTGTGTTTCTATGGACTCGTGTGGTAGATGACGACGTGCACGTGTTTCTTGATGAGTGATGATTATTCTCTGCTGAAGTACTCACCGATATGTTTGCCCTTCATGTGGTAGTAGAAAGAGACACAGTATGGGACTCTGCCAGAGCCCTTGGGGCCCCTCACTGAGGTCACATTGAAAAGTGGGGAAAGCAGACGAGCCTTGTCCCCCTGAACACGCGGCCGTGACGCTTCAATGTACATGTAGAACCCTGAAACCAACCAACAAAACAACACTCTACTGTCTCAAATGCAACACAAATAAAAATGTGATTATGATGTTGTACAATTATGTATTGTACAATATACACTGCAATACTATGACTACTATACACAAAACTGAACCTGTACATGAAATGATTCCTCATGATTTTCTCACCTTCCTTGGTTCCACTGCGGTCAGTCTCGGGGCCGGTGTTGGCAGATCGCTTGGGATTCTGCGTCAGGTGATTTTGTCTCGTCCAATCAAAGATATCACTCCGGTCTTGAGAGAAACCACAATTCCTGTCATCCTCAAAACCACACACATGATCTGGGATGTGTGTGTGTGTGTGTGTGTGGAGAGGAAAAACAAGAGAGAAAAATATTTTACATCCATGACATGTCAGACAGCTGACGTTACAAACTACAGGTGACATAATCTACTATTGTTTTACCCACTTTTACCGGGGAAATGAATGGTCAACAATATAGCTGTATGAAAGCCTCGGCAATATGCACTTCAGATGTGACGATCAGACAGCCAGGCAATTACTGACAAAGTGATGTGAGCACAATGTAGGAGGCAGGGTGTATAATGTGAAACTTTAAGTGGATTTCACATACAGTATTATGCATATTCTGATGCATGACTCCCACATGCACATTTTAAAGGTAACCATGATTAGGTCAGGCTGTGTCAAATGGAAAAAGGAGAACAAAGAATAACATTAAAAATAACCTTTAACCAAAGGTTTCACTGTTACAAGGTTTCTGAAAGAAGCAAGGCGCCTTGCCTGGATATATTCAGGAGAACAGAAATACACAGTGGAGCGCAAGTATCAGGGGAAGAGCTGTTGACCTACTGAACCCTGGTTTACACTTTAGGTTGTTTCTTACCTTTTTTGAAACTTTTCAGGAAGTAAGAAAAATACTGCTACTACCGCTAATAAAGACATAAAATATAGATTACATAAGAGTTACAACTTCTCTAAATGGGGAAAGTTGGGGCTTACATAAATAGCTAAGTCTGATAACATGTTTTCTGAATGAAACTCTTCAGAATGTGAGAGCTGAGACTTATATTTACAGTTGTGGAGGGGAGGTGTCTCAACTAGCTGTTGAATATTTGTATTTGCATCATTCCCGCAACAAAGCTTTGATCAAATGCAGCCTCACATGACACAACATTGTTCCCCAGCCATATGAAGTCAGATGTTTGCTGTTTGATATCGCCACACAAATTGCTTTTTTTAGAAGGACATCTGTGAGGGAATTGGCATTATATTTGATGCCGACGTGTCTTGTTAAGCTAGATAGAGGGGCTTTTCTCTTTCTTGTCGTCCCCTTCATTAGCCCATCAGGAGGGCTTTGCCATTATCAGAGACTCACCAAACAAATGAAAACGCGAGGCAAGCGAGTACAACCACAGCTATCAAAAGCCATCCAAGCTGACAGATTCTGTGAAAGCTTCCTGGACGCTCACACACTCCGCTGCCGATGCATATGGCTCACGCTACCCATGAGGATGTCTTGTGTGTGCTTCTTTGTTTCAGGGAGCTAATCTATTACTATTCACACCCTGCTCCACTACATGCGCTCCTTTCAATTTGCACTGTTGTTCTCGCAGTCTGTTCCAATCTGCTGTTGTTTTAATTGCCTCACCCTGGCGGAGCCAACTGCCACTCCTGCCAGAAAAAATGCAGCTTGTCTCTTAATGAAGAAAATAGACAAGATGCAATTGACTGAGAAAGAGTGAGAGGATGAGAGGAATGGAGAGAGCAGGAGTTAGCACAAGAGACTGAGACAAAGGGGGGGGGGAGAGAACAAGGAGGCGCATATTTAAGGTGATAAATATTGATGGTAAAATAGTTTTCATATAGTTTCATCAAGGGACTTTCAAATATTTGCCCATAAACCTTAAAACTGATCACATTTAATTAACCAGTCTCATATCCTCCAGTCATGAGCCCTCTTTGACGCAAATTTAAATGTCATGGGCCTGCTCCCAGCCATCACTTTCATTCTCTCATCCTACTGTTACCCCTGTCTCATCCCGAGCAACAATATTAAATCGAGGCCAAGGCTGGTTCATGACAAATGTTGCCTTGACAAACTTGTGCTGACATTGCTCGCAGTGTTCAAGCTGCAATTAGCGCGCATCAAAATTCAACGGGCCTTACTACCTTCACCACCCTGTCATCAAACAGGTCACAACACTGTGAAGTGTAGAAATGTTGAAGAGCAGAGGATGGTATTGAGGAGAGAAGTCTTACCTGAAGGCCTTGGGTAGGTGTAGGCTGTAAGACAATGATATTGGTACACTCAGATGTGCACAATCCACTGATACATGTTTTGTACAATGTACATGGAAATGAAAGATAAGGACTTCAGAATATGTTTGATAAAAATGGCTTTAAATAAGACTCACGTTCTGAGTACTGTATGATGCGACTGACGTAGTCCCCAGTGCTGTAGGTGGTGATGGGGGCCAGTCGGACCTCGTAGGACAGAGGGATTTTCAGGTCTGATATGGTGTTGGATATGAGCACACCCTTCTCTGGCTCCTTGCCCTTGAGGTCTATCTGCTTCGACAGCACATTCTGCTTGTTCTAGATTTGTACAGGTGAACACACACACAAAAGCAGGGAACATGACATGTTAAAATGTATAGTCACAAAAGACATACATATAGTACACAAACAAAGATGATCACTACCAGAAAAAGCAGAAAATCTGACTGAGAAGCAGAAACTCTAAAAGGGTACACATGGTGTTGTCAATACTGTCAGGCATAGCTCCCATCTTTTCTCCTTTTTTTTTTTTTTTTTTTTTTTACATCATCCTCAACCTCATCTTCACAGCTTTATGTTTGTATGCTCAGGTATTAAAACTCAATCTTAGTAAGAAGGAGGTTGGAAGTCAGTCAGAGTTGGGGGTGCTAAGAATGACGTTATAGTAAATGCTCTGGGACGTTTTTGCTTTAATTTGAATGGCAAAGATAATTTATATCTAATGGTTATTACCAACATTTTACACAAATTTTCAGGCCCTGGCCCCCCTCGAATCAAACATTATATTTTCCCAGGCAAGAAAATATTGTCTGCTAGATTTGATTAAAGCATGCCCTAAACCACTGATCACAGATATTTGTTTTGTGCTGTAGAAGCAACAATAATTTATTTACACGCAGCCTATTAAGCACTATATCATCATATCCATATCCGTATCTGTGCAAGTTTCCTCACATTTTATGTCAATGGAATTTGTCTTTGGCATAGCTATGGGCGTATAGCCAACCTCAAGACTTGGATTGTACCTTTCTTGGACTGAGTGCATTTCCAATCTCATCTTTTATCCAAAAGCTACACAGCTGTCAAAAGTATAATTTGCAGCCATCTCTTTTCAGGAAATACCTTAAAGTCAAGCACAGGCTATGTTAGTCTCAATACAGAGGTGGTGTCCAGTGTTATTGTTCAGTGTTATTGTGCTCATAACACTGGACAGGTTGGTCCAGTGTCCATAGTACTTAGTAAACTGATTCACTTCCAACACAACGTATCATTGCCCACCACTCACCCAACACAGACTCAATAAATATTATTGTAATTGTATAAATTAAAGACATATTTCTTTCACTGTATGTACAACCCACCGAATTTAAATCCCAACTGACTTTGGAATAAATTGAATTGGCTGTGCATTATAGGAACTAATATGAAGATAAAAATGGTTACGATGATAATCCAGTCCAATTGTTGTCTTCTCATTTTCTTAAATGTTGTGTACGAACACCAGAATATTTTACAGAACAGACAGCTAACTGACCATGAGGAGATAGTCGCTGAACTTAACAAAAAGTACATTGGATTAAAATTGCTTACTGCACCTTTAAGATATTTTTTTTGTTAACACCATTTATAATAGAGCTATCGCTGTGTTATTCCACCCACGGAGAGAAGGATCCATTAGCTGTGTATCTGCCTCTGATCCCAGCTACTTAAAGACCTGACAGTGAGCTCAATCTAATGCATTAGGTCAGCCACTCCACCATAACACCTTAGTACACCCACAGCATGCCATTATCAGGTAATGCATGCAGAAGTGTGTGTGTGTGTGTATGTATGGTAAATGTCTACAGCATAGAGCCCTTACAATGAAAGTTGAATACAAAAGCTGACAGACGTAAATATTGGCCAAAAAAGAAGCATCATAACATTAAAAAAAGTTCTAACAATTTGTCCGTTCCAATTTTGTGGGATAATTATGCAAAAATGAAACAAAAAGGTGTATATATAAGGCTCAAATGTGCATGCTTGATGTTGTGTGCTTGATACTCAGCTCCTCCAATCAAAAGAGTAACAGTCTGGCAGTCCGGTTAGTCATAGAGGAACCGGACTTCACGCTCCCCTATAACTGCTTCCGTACTGTATGCTCTGACATCACCTCGGTGAAATGTGCTTTTCCTTCTGTCTTTTGACACTCAAGTTGAGGTTTGCTATTCCCGTTGGATTTTTACTTATCACCACAAATTCAAACTTAGCTAGACTGGGCTGATCATTTCTATTGACAGGACGGTGACTTCTGCCCAGGCTGCAAAGAATTTGGTATGACTCCAATTATTGTGCGAGTCTCGTATGGCAGGCAGCCACAGCCTGATCCCTGTAAGTTTGTGCTGGGCAACATACTTGGAATCAAATCCTTCCTTCCTCACCAGGCCCTATGCCACTAATGGCTGTTAAATCTTTTCTCAGAGCCAGTCTGGCCGTTTCCATTTTTCAGTTTGTCCAACTTTTCACCCTCTCTTGCGAGTCATGGAACATCCTTTTCATGCCTTGCACAACAGCAGGTACCCTTCAATGCAGGCAAAATTATCCATCCAATACACAAACCAACCAATCCAAACATAAACCACATTTCCTCCCAACAAATATGTCCTCAAATTGCTCCAAAGAATCCTCCCATATGCTCGTCAACTACGAGCTATGATGAACACTTCTGCATTATGGTGCCTGGCCTGCACACAGGAATCCTGCTTGCTTGTACTGCAGTTGGATTGATCTGGAAATGTTTGCTCAACTTAGTATTGCACCAACTGAATGATTACTCTGGTTAGTGTCATCAGGTATCTGGGAGTTCAGAGAGAAAAGACTCATTAAAGGACTTAGTGGCAGGGTGTTTTATAACAGGATACTGCATCTTTCAATAAAAAGGCAGCAAAGCGACCTTTTGGTTTCAGAGACCGTCACATCAAGAAAAGGTCACACGTTTTCTTGAGTAAGGTCCTGGGCTCCTAGCTGCTAAATTGTTATACGCTCTGATAGTGTTATCAGTTACATGTGTAGTATCAGTGGAAAATGGAGCTTTTCAACAAATAACAATTTGGGTGGAATAGTATTCACAGCTCACTGTGGATATCTTCTGTGTGTCTGTGATTGAGGAAAGAGGGAGACAGGGAGAATGGTAAAGAGATATTTTTGGAACAAAACAAGGAAAGTAATAAATAAAAAAATAAAAAAGTCCTTTACAAGTTAAAGTCCTACTTAAGTAAAAGTGCAGAAGTAATAAGAAACAAAATATACTTCTGCATCAAAATGTCCCGTGAGTGATTCATTATTGTATATTACATTACTAGATTGTTAACGTTGATTCAACTACGTGTAAGCACAAGTAGAGCTAGTTTTAAAGACTGCATATAAAATAAATGATGTAACTACAGTTGTTGAGTAAATCTAAGTAGTTACTGTCCACCACTTGCTATATCACATTTGCTCAGTTTCCACCTTAACTGACTACATAAACTCATACACTATCACACGGTGTATACTATTTAGCATGGTAGTAGCTACATAATGAAATGTATTGTGGCCTTTTAACACCAATTTACGCTCACATTCATCCATATAAACATTTACACACTGCTTGTACAGCATATGCATAATTATGTGAAATATAGCAGAAAAGAAGAGCTATGCTCATGTAATATGTATAGAGTGTGCCTTAGCAGGGAGAGACAAGTTAATAATGCTAAGGAGTCAGAAGTAAGCAGAATGAGAGAGAACGTGTTTCTTCATGAGCGGACAGGCTCTATGCACACACACACACACACACGCACACACACACACACACACACACACACACAGTGCACACACTTGCTTTGGTCGTGGTTACAGTTTGTAGGATATAAACGAACTAGACTAAAAGCATACACAAACCCACACGTACAGTTTGTGGACCCCAAAACACACTGGATAATTGAGGTGCAGAAGTGTGACTCAGAGGAATTCAGATGCTTCCACTGCAGTTAAAAGACTTTGTTTCCCTCTCTGTCTGCTTCCCTCACTAGGTCAGTGGACAAAATGTGTGTGTTTACATGTGTGTTTACGTGCCTAAGTGACAGGGAAAGGCGCGGGTGAGAAAGATATATAGTGTGTAGAGAAAGGAAGGAGATAGTTAAAGTTGACCGGAGTGAGTGAGTGAGTGACATAATTTAAGAGGCAGAAAGGTGGTTGGTTGATAGACTGATACGGAATTCCATATACCTCTCTCGACGCGTGTGTGTGTCTGTGCGTGTCTGTGCCACACACTTTCAATAATTTCAGCCATACAGTGTTTTCAGCTGTGTCTGCATCGGGCTGTCAACAAAGAGACACCAAAACAATGTGTGATTGAGGGTGCGAGCAAAGGTGCAGCCATGAGATAGAAACATAGAAACATAGAGACACAGAGTGACGTGTGTGTGCCTGAAGCGGGCGGCCTCTTAAAACACGTTAATATTTTCATTATCCTCTATTAATGGATCTTTTGTGACTGATCCACAGGTCAGTGGTATTATGTGTGTGTACATTATCAAGTCATGCGTGCACTGTGTCTGTACGTAAGAGTATCTATGATTGCATAAGCCTATGTGCTCTCTTAGTGGCCTTGTGTGTGAATGAACAAGTATATATGCATATTGAGGTTGGTTATGTACATAAATTATTCATACATTTGATTTAATGTACAACTCTAATTCATCATGAATATTTTTAATTCCTCATATATATGATAATGGGCATGTGTGTTTGCACAGGAGTGTTTGTGTGACTGTGTCTCAGTGCAGAAAGATCTTGGGTGTTCAGATCTGTAGTTAAGACCTGAAGCCAGGTCAGCTGCCTGCCACACTACTTCAGTGATATACTAAATACACAACTCCATAGCTGCAGGCAGACGAGCGGTCGATATAGTGATGAGGTAGAAAGATTGAGAGATGGGAGGAGAAAGGTGTGCAAAAGCAATAAGGATGGCAAAACACAGAAGAAGAAGAATACAAACTGAAGAAGCAGTAAGAAATTTGGGATTAAAAGAAACACAAAGGCATACTGTATGTATATTGTGGCATGGTCGTTCTCTGATACGAGTGTCTCTGCAGTATATATTTACAGAATGTGTACGCTATGGTACAGGCTGTGTGTGTGTACATACTAAACACACAGAAGCTATTCCTTTTTGTAAGCATCAGATTCACAAGAATGAAAAGATCAGCAACCTCTGATGAGAAAATTCCAAAGCCTTCACCAAGGCCACAATTTGGGCTTCAATCACTCATAAAATGATGATGTAAAACATTTTTTTATACACACAATTGTTAATTCTGTAGGGGTCATTAAACATACGGGCTCAGATGGTGAATTTTAGAGTCGGTGAGAAGTAAAAGGAAAGTGAATAGGTGCAAATTCGCCTAGTAAGGCTCGAAGGACACATAGATGCAAAAATATATTGTGCTTATCCCAGGAAAAAGAATAGAGATAGTAGGTAAATAACAAAGAGAACTGGAGTGTCTGTTGAGTTCTGAGATCAGTCACAGGCTGAGCTAAACTCAAACACACAGATAAACACGCACTCAGACACAGTGCATAGTACATTCTTTACTAGCCAGCTATCATTTGTACAGTTGGTATTCTGGCTGTTTGGGGGAGATCAACAAGGACTGCACAAACAGCCTGGCGGTCAAATCCGCACGGATGATGTGAGGCGTCAATTCTGCCACGCACTCATAACTTCGTAAAATGATATCAGATTTAATATTGGCTGCTGCACACTTTTTACTTTCAAGTTGTTGTCTTTTTTTGTGTTTGAACTGATACATTGAAGCTAACTGGTCCACTGTTTTGTGTTTGTCTGATGTTAACACGTTTTCTATTCCGGACAGGTTACTTAAACTCCCTCTTCCCTATACACTACCTTCATTGTGTCAAGGGAAGGCTGGGTAAATTAGCGGCTGTTTTTTAGAGCAGAGTTTATGAATGCATATGCATGAGATGAGTGCACTGGATTAATAAATATAGGTGCGACTCTGAAAACAGGCAACTTCCTATGACAGGGCGCCTATGGTATATAAAGAATAGGGTGTAAAATGAGCAACAAAAGGCTTCGTAAATCAGTCACTTTTGTTGCAAAAAGGTCAAATCAACACAAATGTATTATCTCTCATGAATCAAAGTACTCGTACCGTAGGGGTAGAGGTTGGGGTGAACAAAAGGGGTGTGAGGACAGCTTGATGAAACAAAGAGGGCCTGTCAACGTTCCTACACAGGGAAACCCCCTGCAGAGAGAACCAAACTAAATGAAGTAAGTGGGGATTTCCCAGCCTGGCAATGAGTCATGGAGCAAATCATGTAGTCTGTCACACACACACACACACACACACACACACACACACACACACACACACACACACGGACATATGCTCTACACATAGGCGAATACAAATGCATTAGAGGCCATAATATATATATATATATATATATATATATATATTTATACACATATACATACATACATACATACATACATACTCAGAATAATGAGACAGGCACTGCACATGTATTTTTTCTTCAAATCAAACTCTTATAGCCTCATTAAATATATATATATAGATCTATATATATATATATATATAGGAATATATACAAATATATACACACACACACACACACACACACACACATACAGGCACAAAGCCCTGCAATAAAAAGCAAATGGACACACTTTATGCATTGAGCAGAAGTCATAGGCATGTACAATGAAAAGCACTGCTCTATGAACTGATCCGTCTCTTTTATTCCCCTCTGTGTCTGCATGTCTCCCCCGAGACTCCCTACTTCATTTTGTATGTGCTAAAAAGATGGCGTCAAGGCGTTAAGAGGATGAGCTGGAAAGTGTTGCAGAAATAGATGGGTTGTGAAATTGAGATGGTATTACATTTGAATGTTCTCATACTCTATTTAATAGTTGAGGAGACCAGTGAGATTCACTGTTTTTCTTTAATTTGCATTTTATTTCTGTCTTTCGCCCCCTTAAGTTCTCGCTCTCACCCTTTGCTTTTCCTTTAGTTTTCGTTCTTTTTTTGTCTCAATTTTAGCCACTCTCTAATGCATTCATAAACATATGCCGGTAAAAACCTTGAAATAAAATTAAAGTTGAACAACATTTAAGAAGTCTTAAACTGTCACTTAATGCAATTCATTATTTTAACACTGTCAGCATAAAAACTCACAGCGGCTACTTATCAGCTCTATTTCAGTTGCCACGGTTCACCCAACATTAAATGCCATTAAGTCTGCACTTATAACACAATACCTCACTGCGGGAAAAACTGAAAGGGGCAAGGGGAAGCGAGAGAGAGGACAAGTCAAGGCAAGAAATACTTAGAGGGCAAAGAAAGACGAAGAAATGGGGGGAAAAAAACGGACGAGATGAGGTGTGTGAAAGATATTGGACAAAAGGAGAGGGAACAAGAGAGAGGTAGCGCGGAAGTTTTCAGAGAGCTGAGGCATGCAATCAAATGTGCATCTTAGGAAGGCCAGTGCTAATTTTCTGTCTCCCTGTAGAGTCTTACTTAATGAGGTAAGCAGCCAAGTCTTAAAGTAGGAGGGGAATTAGCTATTCATCCGCACAAAAGCAAGCTGGCAGGCCCTGCATTCCCTCTGTTTCAGTGTCTCTCTCTCTCACACACACTCACACACACACACACACACACACACACACACACACCCCCAGCCAGTTGTGTATAATTCACTATTATCCTTCCTGTCTTCTGACTCAAGGCCAGTAATCTATGAATAGATGTTTGAAAAAAAAAGAAAAGAAAGGGTGGCCGGAGGTTGCTCTCCTACTGTGGACAAAGGTTTCCAACTTCATTCAGGGGTGAACTCAGAAGGGCTGAGTGTGTGTATATGTGTGTCCAAAACTGTTTTTAGGGCGGAATTGGTTGGACAAAGCAGTAAAGCCTAAGGTTGTCTGGAAGATAAAACCTCAAAATCTGTCATAATAGTGGTCATTACTGATAGTAGTAGTCTGTAGATTTTTAGACAATGTATTTATTTTTTAATGGAATAGCTATGGGTACATGTTACCTGTGTCACAAAAAAACATCTTCTATCTCCAGATTGAATACTGGCTGAGATGAGAGATGTTGGCAGTGGAGGGCTGGTCTTGCCGTCGTTACAACACAGTAAACATTGTCTGTCTGGCACTCAAAGTAGAATCATGGAGTGAGAGCGGAGTGATCGTAAGTAGAATGTTATGAGGGTTTGTAACCGTAGTTATGTGAACAAAGATGCAATGCTGACCACTCATATTCACATACTGTATGTGGGCGTTGGAAAGTGGAAAATGAAGTCCATGTCTGACAGGACTGAGTGATGAGAGCTGAAGGAGATGGCTACTCATGAAAAGGAGCTTACAAGAAGAGAGGAGACAATATAAGATGTGAGAAGGAGGGAAAAAAAGATACAAGGTCCCTAAGGCAGATTTCAAATAAATCTGAGAATCTACCAGTATTTATTTTTTATATTGTGCCAATTGGATAAACAAAATTTTAAAATCAAAGTGAAAATGAGATTATAATCATAGAAAAGAAAATGCAGAGCAAATATTCTCTTTTTGTTTTCTTTCTTTACTTTGGTGCATAATAAGGGTTATGTTTGTGCTTGCTTTTTATACAGTTTGTTTAATTGAAAGCATTTCGAGATGTGCGCACTGCAAGAGGACTTTGTTTACCGTGAACAGCGGTCCTCTTAGAAAAAAACACATTTTCAAATGCATGGGAACATGAAATCGGGGTAGAAATTGCATCAGAAAGATCTGCTTATTTAAAGAAACTGGGTTATTTTTCAGTACAAACAGGTAAAGACCCAAAATGATGAGCTGCACAAAGGAGAGGAGAGCAGAGGAAAGGAGAGGAGAGGCTGTGACATTGTTGTAATTCAGTGCAGGTCTCCATTGATTGACTTCACACTTCCCATGTTTACTTGGCATACACACTTCTACCTGCCTATTCAGATCAAGTACAGTACATGAAAGTGTGTATGCATACATGTGTGCAATATGCCTGTGTTCATGTGTACCTGTGCTTTCACAGGCTTGCTGAGGGTGAGGACTGTATTCTTTCAAGTAATTGTGCAGTATTAGCATACCTTTCGGACATTAACCCAGTAGCCTATGATACGATCCGTAGCCTCAGGATCTTTCTGTGTCCACTGCAGGTTGTAGGAATAGTTGTTTCCTTTTAGAATTCGCACTGGATTGGGTGTGTCGAAGTAGAATTCAGCATTGTAAGGTTGTGCTGTGGGAGAGAGCAAAATGTCACAGGTAAGTGATACCAAAGAAGAGATAACTGCCTGTGTAGAATATGACTATAAGCTTGATAAATGGATGAATAGTAGTTTGATATAGATGAATGCTTTTGCCACAAATAGATTACAAAGCATAGTCTCACGTTTGTTCACTCACCAGAGACATTAAATGTGCATGTTGATGTCCCTGCACTGTTGCTGACTCGGCACTCATAAGAGCCATTGTTGGTGGGTTCCAGCTTAAACTTCAGCTCCGGCGTCTCCTTCAGGTCTGGCATGGGCATGCGGATTAAGTCGCCGTTACGGAACCAGCGGATGTCTGTTAGGCGTGGCGGATTTGACCGCATGATGGTACACCTCAGGATCACCATCTGATAGTTCCTCGAACGCGCATCCTGGAAGACTGGGTCCAGTATTGGAGGATCTGCGGACACAATAGATTTAAGTTGTTAGATATTGTTTAGCCTGCCATGTCAATTCATATAATGTTATGAGGTGCAGAGGCAAAATCCTGTCAATTGTAACTGGTTTCAGCTCGTAATCTATCTTGTACTTTAAGACCACTATACCTTTCCTCCCATGCTCATATACACTGACTGTACAAAATATTTGGGACTCCGACTTTGTGATGAAGTATAGTGATGAGGTGTGTCCATGTAAAACCCACTATCCCCAATTGTTTTCCATTTTAAGATCTATTTCCATCATAAAGGAAGAGATAGAGATAAACTGAAGCAGAACAATTTGAGAAGAATTCACCTTAGAAATGTAGGCGATGCAAAATGCAGTGGTGTCAGTACATCACCACCATCCATGTCTAATTTCTCCTGCATTATCTTTTTGTTCTCTGCAGCGTACATTTCTTCACAGCATCATAAAACATCGGTTTTTGACAAATAATGTGACACAGAGCAACTGTTAGTGTCACAAGGGATGAGGCATTTCTATGAGGCACAGTCTCATCCCTGCTGCTAACCGACCCTAAGCAGCTGTAATTAACCTGTCAGCAGGGATGTGTGGCTCTGCGGTTAATGACTGACTAGCTGTTGTTGCCCTGGGGTCAGCCAGGACACAAGAAAGCCAAATGACTCTGCCACAAATCATCAGCCAGCTAGTTCCCCCCTGGCTAATCATGTAGATAATAGACAAGATGCTAATGGTGGTATTGCCATACTAACAGTGATGAGATCGGGTGTTAAGGCCCCTTGAGGTGAAGCAGCACGACTAGAGTCCCTTATGAATCAACTTTATCAGACACAGATGTGTAATTACAGTCTAATCTGTGTTATGCCTGTAATTTAGATGGACAGGCCCACGGATGAGCTGCAGTCAGGGGGAGAGAAAGAAACATAGACATACAGAAAGATAACATATGGAGCAGGGGAGAACACTGAAATTGAGTGACTGGATTTTAACCGTACCAGGAGTAATGAAAGCAAAAGACAGAAAGACATTCAGACAAAATCACAGTGATCTGATGACAAACTGTTCTCATGTTTAAACAACTGAATCAAGCATTCAGACTATCCAGTGTTGATGTATTTAAACATAAACTGAAAACCTACCTCTTTAGCTCTGCTTTTTGTTAGAATATATATATACACACACACATATATGTATATATACATATATACATATATATATATATATATATATACACATATATATATATATATATATATACACATATATATATATACACATATATATATATATATACACATATATATATATATATATATATATACACATATATATACACATATATACATATATATATATATTTACTGTATATATATATATATTTACTGTATATATATTTACTGTATATATATATATATTTACTGTATATATATATATTTTGTTATTATTTCACATTCGTCTCAAATTATTTTACCGTTGCACTAATTGCACTAAGCTATATGAAAGACATTTCACAAATATAGTTTCATTCACTGATTATCATCCATTCGTCTGTCTTTTAGAAAACAACAACACTGTTTGGCTTCCACATGTTTACATAATTAGATGAAGTTAATAAAAACCGAGCAACTGTAACTCATGACATACTACATAGTGAACACTGCGGACATTGACTCATCTTTTTTGACATCTAAATCTTATCTATTCTCTCTTTGAGTGAGCCTTTTATTATTATTTTTTTGCAACAGGTACAGGTATACACTACCAAACCAAATCCTTGTTTGAATCCCTGGTTTACCATTCTGTGCTTGCACTCCTGTCAGAGGAACACGAGTAAGCACCTGCATGCTAAAAAGACAGGAAACCACCAGAACATTTGACTTCTCAGCTTCTGTGTTGTTTTCCGTCTAGACTCGAAACATGTGGATGCAACTTACTCACAGCTTCCAACTTTCTTTATTTTTAGAATGTAAATTGCCATTTACTCCTGTGTGTCCAGTCATTATTATGTCTCCTGACCTGCCTGTATGTCCTGCACCCACAACAGAATCATGTGATGGAGCTGAGGAATAGGTGAGCAGACAAAGGTCATATTGCAATCCTATGGACTGATTAGTTTATGGTCAAACCCTGCCCCTGCTTATAGACACAAATATGCATACTGATGCCTATCTGACTTTGGAAACAGGTGTCACGGGTAAAGAAAAGCAGGCAAACTTTGGCCCGATGGTGATAGAAGTAGGGAGGAGGGACGGAAAGAGGAGGAGGTGTGTTGTGAGCAGATTATAAATCATTCCATCCCCAGAAGAATTTGGTAGTTATAACAATTCCCTTACCTGACCTCAAGTATTCATTTCAACAATTAAGTAAGTTTCTTAGCGGTAGGTTTTACTTTTTAAAATTGTGGGGTTATTTCAATTTCTAACCCAACATTTAAAATTCTCTGGTGCATTGTTTTTGCATTTATTTGCCACTAGTTGGAGACTCACAGCACCACACTGCAATGTTTCATAGTCAGAAGACCATAATCCATGTAAACACAACATTGCTCTCTGTCTTATCGAATCCAGGAATGCAACACTTACCAAGCCAAACATTTATAGTACACAAAGAGAAAATCAATTTACATGAGACTGAGAGAGGGATGAGGTGAACGGGGGAGTAAGGTGGGATGAAGGGAGAGAAAACAGCTCTTAAAGAAGAAGACAATGAGGAAGACAAACGATAGGGAAAGTGTGGTGTGGAAGTGAGAGAAGCTGATGATTGAGTATGGGAGCTGGGGAGAGATTGAGAGAATGCAGGATGCAGAAAGGGAATGACAAGACAGAGAGAGGTCCTCTCTCATGGCCAGTAGTTAGCTGATTGATGATGATGAGAATGGCAGTAAGGAAGAACAGCTACTTCTCTTGGAGGGAAAGTGGGCAAATAAAGAAGGGACACAAGGCGAAAAGAGGAAGTGGGAGAGGCAACAGTGGCAAGAATCTGCATATCCTCTTAATTATGTCTGCCATAATAAATGATGGCACCCTTCCCTCACATCGATCAACAGTGCTAAATAGTAGGAAGCAAAAGAAACCTGATAAAACAAACAAAGTGAAATGTGAGCGGGGCAAAAAGAGGGGCAGTGGAAGAAGAAGAGAGGAAACATGTCTTTTAACACACTTTTGTTGGCTATAGCTAAAGATTCTTTTATGGCGTTTCTCTGTCTGCCAATCTGTTTTTCCTCTTCATCTCTTTTCCATCTTTCTAACCTCCCAATCGCACAATTTTTTTCTTAGCACCTCGCCATCCCTAACCCTGTTTCAAGCTCTCTCTTAACCCTTCTCTCGGTCTTGCTCATGTGTCTGTCTCATCTCTCTGTTTCTTTCTCCGTCCAGAGTGGGGTGGCCACCTGGTCCATGAATCAGACTTGGCCAGTGCGGACAGCAGAGCTCACAGAGTGTTGCCCTTCCGCCTCCGCCTGCATTAGAAGGCCCTGTAAATCCTTCTTAAGAGAGGAGAGGAGACTGATTCAGGTGTGTTTTCATCAATTATGTCCTATGAGTGGTAGGGAAATTGGTCCTATTGGGCCAAGTACTCCTCAGACAAACAAATAGTTGATGCTACCTTTAAGCAAAGATTTTTCTTAAAAATTCAATAAAAAAATGACAGTGGCTGATTTTAGTCAGGATGTGCTTTAAATGCTCTCTTCATGTAAATGAACAGGTCCCTGTTTATTCCCCTTACACATGTGAGCATATTTAAATATGTGATGGATTATAGTGTCTAAAATATATTTATCCAGATTTAGCTACTGGCTAAAAGTAGCACCTAAATTGAAGTTGCTTTGGTCCAAGAGGGACACATTTGGTACTCCCAGTTGCTTGATGAATGCAGGTTTGGGCCTTTCATTTTTTCTCTTTTGAATCTTCAGATGCATTGCTATTTATTTTATGTATCCTCATGTTTTTCTGATCTCTTGAACATCTTATAACTTTAATTAAAGGTGCCTTTTATCTTGACCTTGTATACAGGGCACAATGGAGGTTGCTGAAAGTGTTGGTTTCACACTGAATTCTGTTTTTCTTCAAAGTTATTAAAAAAAACATGGGTGTACAACAGCAGATAGACGTCCTTCAAATAACTAATAAAGCTTCCTCATTCAACTTCCATACTTTAATTTTTTTTCCCTTAATAGTTCAGAATAAGATGGTGGTGTCATGGTGAAGTTCAGCTTCAACCCTGGAAGGATTATTTTCCATAGTTTATTACGTTGTATTTTACCCATTGGTTACAATATGCTGAATGGAGCCCATCCAGTTTAAAGATGGGGCAAAGTACATATTTTCCGTTTTTGTGGAAGCAATGGGATTCTGTTATGAAATACATGTTATAATGTAAAGTTGGAAAATCCTCATAACCAGCTACTGCACGGCTTGTGTGACAAGTGTATGGTTTGAGATAAATGTTAAATTATATTCATATAAGTTGATAGTTTTCAGAAAAGTCTAAATCAAATTTGTCACTTTTAAGCTCTCTTTAACAGTCAGAAGTGCCATTGCTTGGTAACAGTGAATGCAGGCACAATTCAAGAATTGTAAAAGTGGGTAACCTCATGGGATGGGAGAAGGTGTTGAAATGATGTGTTATTTTATCAAGACAGATCCTCCTCCTTCCTCAAAGCTCATCCTCCGGGAGATTTAAAATGACAGTCCCCACTGGAGTGCTCACAAAGGGGAATGGGTAGGTTTAGAGAAAACAGCCAGAGAGGTGCGCCCTCATTTTCTTTTGCTCTTCCTTTTTACGCTCTTTACATTACCATACATTTCCTTATCTGTCTTCAGGGTACACAATTTTGAGCAAAGTCTGAAGATAATGCCTTTATTACATGTGGTGCAAAAGAAGAGTGCAGTGTTTTAATAGATCTCTGATATTACCCTAGCCATGTGGCCTATGGAGGTTTATGCAGAATAATGTATTTAAAGACTGAACACCGTCACATACAGCTTTTAAACCTTCATGGAGAATGATGTCTACCAAATATTTTCTCTACCGTTGTGACTGTTATTTCCTGTTACTACTTTATTTTGAACATTGCTACACCAAATATTCAAGTTCTGAAGCTCTGTTTTGGGTGTTGCAGACATTACTATTCTAATACTGTTTGCTGCTACCCCAGGGATCATTAAAAGTGTCATATTACCCTGTCTTATCTTACTAGTAGACAAGATGGAGCAATAACAGTACGTGAAAGCAGTCGCAACCAATCTGGATTTTTTTTTACACCAAACTGAACCGCGAGAGATGCCACAAGTATCTTAACAAGTTAACAAGTTTAACTGCTGCTTATTCTAAACAATGATGTTACCTACGTTGTTGTAGGTTGGGTTCTTGTGTGAAAATCATCTGATCTACACTTACACTGCACATTGAGTTGGACCTGTGCCTCCCTGCGTTTGATGTTAAGCCCGTTGTATGGAGCGGTCTGGCACCGGTACGCCCCCATCATGTCCCGACTGACGTTCTTCAGTCTCAAGCGACCATCAGGGGTCTCCATCATTGTCCTCCCTGATGGCATTAGCAGGTCTTTTTCTGCCCGTGACCAGAGTATAGGTGGACGTGGTTTGCCATCTACCACCAAGCACACCAGCTCAACGTTACCTCCCTCGCGCACACTGACCACCTGACCTCCTGGTGGAACCGACAGCATTGGAGGAGAGACTGCGGGGAAGGAGAGAAGGAAAGGAATAGTAAGAAAAAGTGTACGTTTATTCTCTTACCTCTACATAAATGGAAACAAACATTAATAATGTGTTTGAAAAGATTTTCTATACAATAGACTGCAATAGGAACACAATAATCATACAATTTTCATTACATTAAATATATTGTAGCATGTAAGTATCTACTAAAAGGCTATATGGATAAATATAGTATAATTTCAGAATAAACAATATAGAATATGAACAAGTACAGTAGAAATGGTAAAGAAGGGCTATATGTTATATAATTATTGAGGAGGACATGACTTTAAAATTACAGATGGTGTGAACAGAGAAGCTGGATAACAGAGACAGATGGAGAATAAAAAGCAACAGAATAAACTGACATTTACAAGGCTTTTTTTATTGGACAATCACAGTTTCAATGCAACATCAGAACATTAAAAAGATAACTGCTAAGGAATTAAGTGCTAACATTATAACACACACACAAACTCACAGAGATACAAAGTCCTAAAACGCAACATTTTTACATATTGTTTACATATTAGCTTCTAACAAATCTCTAAACAGTATATTTGCAACCAAATAGACTTTAGAGTAATGCTACTGATCAGCTGTTGCTTGCACATAAATGCACTTGTCAGAGATATAAAATAAAAATAGAAAAGCAAAACCTCACCACTGTTCTGAGAGATGTTGACATCCACACGGAGCTCCAGCCCCCTGCTGCCTGGGAAGTTCGCCACACAGCTGTAGGTAGCCAAGTCCCTGAACTTCATGTCCACAATCTCCAAGCTACTAGTGCCGGGTGCCATGTCTGGGTCACTGCGCAACAAGATCAGGCTATCCGAGTTGAAGACAGGTGCACCGTTCTTGTACCAGGTGTAGTTGACCTTGTCCTGTGGGGTGGCATCGACGTGGCACGACAGCTTGAGGTCCCGACCCATCTGGATGGTCTCGCTGTCCTTGTTGGAGTCTGGTGTAATCTGGAAAGTCAGGTTGCTCATTGCTGTGTGGTGTAGCGGGGTGATGAAGAAAGAAAAAAGGGTTAAGAGGTACAGTGTCGGGTTAGCTGTGGTGCAGTCTTGAAAACAATAAATGGGGGAGGGACTATTTTAAATACTCACAAAGAAACTGTGAAAAGACAAAATTAAAAAAAAATTGGGATATTTTCTTCCCCTAAGATTTGTAGGCCTTGTCTCAATAATCTTTCACTTTCAGCCTGAGTTAAATTTTACAAAGCAAATTATCTAAAATGGTTTTCACTCACTCACTCAATTCATGTTAACAAGTTCTACAAGCAGCCACTGTTGAGTAGCCATTGTTAGTATCTAGTGAGGATATTACTATCAACAAATAACACATATACAAACATCTGCAAAATGCGTGTACAAGTATACAAAATGGGTTGTCTGTTGTGCTGCCATGATAAAAAAAATAATTGAAAAAACCAAACCATTTTTAACAAAAACAAAAGCATCCTGACAGATTCTTAATACTTAAATGAACTAGTAACTCATGCAGTGGCCTCCAAACTGAGAAGTGGTGCACTTTAAAATAAGTTAGTTAGTTAAATTGATAACTATAACTTAATTATGTATAAGTAATGTTTGCATTGATGAAAATATGTGTCCTTGTACTGTAGGATTATTATACAGTATATGTTAATTCATCTCTAACTCTCTATATAACCTTTTTTAATTTTGAAAATATATTTAAAAATTATATTCGGCAGTTTATGTCATAGCAATACATTTTTTTTTTAAAGTTTGTTGAATATAAATCAAATTGAAATGAATGAAGGAGGCAGAAGATGGCTGATATAAACTTTAGATAAGTGACCTCATCTTCAGTTACAAGAAATCCAGTCTATGGTGTGTAGGGTGCTAATCCATGTCTTTGTCTTTTTGTAACATTTTGTATAATTCTGTATGTCTTACTTGTTTGTGCTATGTATGCACCTACTGTGGAGAGGAATGTCCTCCTTCAGGACAAATATTGAACTATCTATCTATCAATCTAATACAGAACGGAAGACACGTTTGTGGCATAGTGTGTGAGGCATGAGGAGGGAGCAAAGAAGAAACCAAAGGGAAAAGTAAATTGAAGGAGAGAGAGAGAGAGAGAGAGAGAGAGAGAGAGAGAGAGAGA